ACCAACGTTTCAGAGGTCATACTGAGGTCATTATTTCTTATACAACTTCGCGGTACACGTAAAACCTTGTGGCGCACACCAGCAGCGGAACACTAGAATAGGATACAGATAGCGACATAGGACCGCAATTATAAAAAAAAAATTGTAGGAAGGAATAGTTTGTGGGTTTGTGCTTTGAGTATAAATAGAATCATACATGAGCATAACTTATATCTACCGGAAAGGAGATAAATAACATATGTGACCTTAACGGTGTGATAAAAGCATCTTAATCTTGCAAACAGTGTCGTAATATTTTTCATTCTTTGCACCTCTCGCGTGCGGTATATGGATAGGTCTATTACAGAATACGGGCGATTATCTACATTTTAAACAAATAAAACTGCAATGTACATTACTCTAATGAAAATGTTATGGTAAGGCGCGTGGATTTTCAAATGCCCGCAAACTTTCAAAATATAGTTTACGTAGACTCTATTACAAAACAACATTTTTTTCAGATGATATCTGTCTTCTGGGTTGTTGCGCCGTGTAGTCTGGTAGACGTTTACCGACGTTTCAGAGGTCTTTGCTGCCCCCGTCATCAGGGCGATGGGTGCCACAGTACACGGCGCAACAACCCAGAAGACAGCCATCTTCAGACTCACCGCCGTGAAAACCTCAAATCCTACAACATATTTTACTGTTTGCAGAAAGAAATGGCCGATTAAAGGAATAATGTAGACAGAAAGAAAGGTAGGTATAGAGAGAGAAAAAAAAAATAGAAACAAAGGAAAGAGAAAAATAATATGGTAGACTGAAAGGAAGAAAATCTTTGGAGAATTTTTCTCAGTGTGACTCCCGAGGGTGGCTGTGGCACACGCTGTATACCAGTATCATCAATTACAGATTAAGCAGAGGTTGCGAGCATGGCTCTGAAAAGCAACAGCTCTCTCGGAAGCAAGTGCAGGAAACTTTTATTATCCTGCCACATGTTAAGTAACACTTCACTCTTGGTTTCTGCAATATAAATAAGAGCCTGCAGACATAACGACGTTTTCTGAACCTCGCGGTGTCTCCGCTGCTACGAATATGCGCTCCGTTTTATATAAATTTTGCCA